CAGCCTTTATAAATAACGAGCTCTGGCATAGCTTACGCCTAAATTGATTAAAGAAAAAGATGATTAGGACGACGACCTTATTATATCATTAGATAGAGCGCTTAGTAGACTTCGCGTGTTTTAAAGGAGGGGGTAGTATGATAGATCAGAGGTCTATAGACCTAGATACCTTGTAGCCTTATGGCCCGTTTGCTCTACAGTATCAGGACATAACGCCTCGCACACTTTAGATAGATTCCTCCTTTATAGCAATAATTCAATATTTGCCTCACGATTGGAGGTTCCCTACAGTGAGACCCTTACACCTCCTAACCCCCCCTGAGATCGCACTTAGACCTGAATAGGCTTCGAAGTTGGCTTGCGCCTCAACGCATACACTTGTTCAATATCGCTTATAGATAGCTTCCTGTTTCTCTGCCGACAGATAGCCGTTGAAACATGAACCAAATTCTTGATTTCTCGTCCGTTGATGTCGTACTTCCTTGCCAATTCTCGACAAACATCGAGATCCCAATCTTCAGGGACATGAGAACCCTTCAAATGCGATTTCCAGATATTTGCCTGTCTATCAACGTCCAATGCCTCGTACTGTAAACGAATGTGAATCCTAGATTCGGCCGCGTCGTCAAACTCATCTTTTCGATTCGAAGTGAGAAACATAACGCCAGGAAAGTACTCGAGATGTTTTAAGAACACCGCAACAAGACCATTGTGGTCGTAATTGCCGGTACCGGTTTCAGCTCTTTTTGAGAGGAATACATCGGCTTCGTCGATAAGTACGACTGCGGAGCATTTCAGTGCTAGTTTGAGAAGGTTATGAAGTTCTCTGTCCGTACGCCATGCATCTTCGCCGAGATCACCGCAAGAAATTCGTAAAAGAGGTCGTCGCTTCTGTTCTGCAATCAACTCTACTATGTAGTTAGACAATTGTATCTCGGAATATTCGCACGCAATTTGCATCTCACCTGCCGTAAGAGTCTTTCCACATCCTGGAGGACCGTAAAGCAGAATAATCAAGCCCTGTCCCTTCTCTCCAACAACATCACGAAATGCTCCATTTTCCAGATGCTCCGTAACAACATCAACCAATATCTGCCTTTCGTTGTCATCGAGCTGAAGCTCCTGGATCGGGTCTTCTTTCCAGTCAATAGCTTTGGCTCGCTTAATGTCGAAATACGCCCATTCTTTTTCGGAAAGGCTGTATCCTGGTGACCAAGCAGGGCAGATTAACGCTTGCAGCGGACTTGGTACGAATTCAACGTCCCCGTTCATTTTCGGCACGCAGCTCCAGATGTCGCCTTCTGGAATCCATGACTCTTCTGAAATATCCAGTTCAGGAAGACCAAGCGGCTCACCATCCTGTTCTTGCTTTGGCGGTTGGATGGTATAATTCTGAGATCGACGCGCTGTTGTATGAAGGCTAACATCAAGTCGAGGATATGTGGCTACGAATGATTCATGACTTAACACGATGCGACCGGATACCTGGAAATCGTTAATCCCTCCAGTAGAGATACGTCACTTAATGACCTACATGTATTGGAACAAGTTCTATTTTCCAGGGCTTGTTAACATTCCTTCTTGGGACTTGAACAACGCCTATAGTACAAATTAGAGTCGATCTGTGCGCCGTGAAAATACTCTTACTTACCGTTGTATTTGTAATGCTTGCCATCTATAACCTCGACAGTCTCGCACCACTTCTTACCGCGTTCGATCAATGTCTCGAATAGCTTCTCCCTCTTTTCTTTCGAGAGAGCCTCAATAGGGTAATAGTCCAGCTCGGTAATCTGCCGGGCTGCTGAAAACTCATCCAACCGGATCTTTTTGAGCGAAGGACCAAACATTGTTCCGTTGTATTGCCATCTGAAAGCTCTGAGTTTCACGTAATTGCCGCCCTTCTGTTTATCTTCTAGAATGTCACTGATATCATGTAAGATTACACATTCCTGAAGTCCATTTTCCTCTCCAACCAAAATGCCTCCACTAGCAAAAATCATCTGGACGTGCTTAAATTCAATGAGACCTTTCACAACCTGGCTCTTGTGAATGATTTCCAGCTCCTGGAAACTATCGTCCATGAATTTCAGCAACCATTTGAAATGCGTCTTTCGCATTTCGTCGTTTGATGTTAATGCGGCTTCCGCAATCTTTTTGATCTTGTCTCGACGTTGAAACAATGGATAATATGGCTTCTGAAAGATGATCGGGTCCGCGCGAACATCGAGTTGTGAGTGTTCACTAAAGGCGCTTCGAATTGCTTCCTGCATAATCGATGATTGGATTTCGAGAAATGTTCCTTGGTGCTCGTATTTGGCATTGATTTTGTCCCGGATAACCATGGCGTACTCTGGAAACTGTCTATCTGGGCGAACAGTTCCTGATTTCTCCGTGATAATTGCCGGACCTCCGCTTTTCGGCTCTTGTTGCCGAATTGAAATTTCCGAATGTTTGATATCTAGCAATGGTTAACTCTAAAGTTATCTGGAGTGGTGGTTTTTCGGACTTGGTTCTTCCGTCTTCCCCTGCCCTGAGGCAGCTACCTTGTCTTTCAACTTTGAATAGTCTTCGTCAGACATGGTGAAATATATCCAAGAGTAAAGAGTTGAAAAGGAATCGAATCCAATATTATCGGAGGAGAAATTAAGTTGCGTCGGCACTGGGACTGATCGCGGACCTCACGGCCACCAGAATAGGTTCATGCCAGCTCATACCCAACAAGAAGAGATAGTAAACCTCCTCGTCACGCTTGAAGCAGATGTGATAAAAGAACCGAACAAATGTTCAGAAGGGTCTTTTAGGTATTAAGGCTGCGATTCAAGGCGGGTTCTTACTACTGACCGGTGAGGCCATGTCGTACGATAATTGAGGCCGGTTCCGGTTAAATCACACCGGCCGAATTCTTGTGGCAGGACACCATAAGTAAAAATCCCTCACTCTGCATGCGTCAGGTATCTACCCTGTAGGCTTTTGGGGCTGGTCACCAGTCAAATCACATGGGCCATATCCTTGTTGCAGGACAAGGCTGAGGAAAAATCCTTCCGTCTGCATAGCCCCAGCTATCGGCACTGCAGGATTTTAGAGGCCTATCTTGTCGGCGGCGCTTCATTAGCGAAAACGGACGTAGAAGATTTTCGACTTCACTGTGATAGAAAAGCTATCTCTACCTTGGCAGCGTCCTGGTACGGTGTTGAACCTGCCAGTTGGCATTTGCTCCAACTTTTCGAGTACTCGGCCGCTGAGCGATTGCAGTTGGAAGAAGCACTTCTTAGCGACCTCACCAATGTTGCGAACAACTTCATTTAGACCTGAACCGCGAACTAATTCCTTCCCGGCAAACGGTCGTGGTCGAGGCTCCGTAGCCGCGCACAAGCATGTAAACTCGGAATCGGGCTTCGAGTAAGTAATGCGATTCTTCTCTACTTACTCCGTGAAGCTCATCAATCACTTAAGTCATGAGGAGAAGAATATCGGCTTCGAACCCGTCGAACTAGGTCTTCGCTGGCCTGATAACTCTGCGAAAATACCAAGAATCTTAGTCCAACTAGATGAAGATCGAATATTTCAGGCAGCAACGGATTATCAACGCTGGACGAACGGGACTTACGTCTTCGAAAATCTCCCTAGGTTTGAGAATGCTATAATATCTGGCCTCACATTAGAAGACGAGAATGCCATGATCAAGAAGGAGATAGCCAAGTACGCCGAGTTTGCACGTTCTGATAAGCCACCCCTATTCAAAAGCAACGGCATCTTGGGTACTACCAACCCAGAAGGATTTCAGGATCTGGCGAAAGTGCTTGACCAAATCGAAACTCACCTCCAAGTTATCAACCATGACAACTATCTGTTGATCCTAGAGCACTTCCACCGTTATGATTTTTACAGAAGTTTCAAGCAAGCCCGAGATCTTATCAGAGAGCGTTACCAGAGAGAACCCCACGGGACGATTCGAATCAATGGTCGCGAACCGAAGCGGTTGGACGACGAAGCCAACAACATCAAAGTCTATCATGCTTTGGTCGATTTTGTTTTCAAATGTTTGGCCTGGTGGCTCATGCATATCGCAAAAAATGATTCTTGGAATGCTCACATCATTGCAGTTATGGCAAGATGGGCAGTCAAACTCAAGTTTATCGCTTTAGATCCGGTCCATTGGGTGGAAAAGGCTCTAGCTAAAGGAGAAGATGTAATGCGACAAATCCAAACGGAGCAGGAAGATGAAGACTGGATAAAAGTTAAGATCCCACATGTGAATTCAGGAGAAGAGGGGGCAAAGGTCGTCTTCCCTGACGACCCAAATCTAGCCGCGTCGTACTATGAGTCAAAGAGCCACTTCAGGGATATTTTGCTTCAACTGGTTAATGGGATGTTGAGCAACTTGAACACCAGACTCCTGGGTTCGGATTCGGTCGCATTGCCAGTACGCACTCTCATTTACCGAGATGGATTGAACCGAACATTGCGCCAGCTAGCTGTGCACCAGAACGGCCAAATCTCAACAACATCTGACGGCGAAGAGTTCCGATATAGCCACACGGCATTCCAATTACTGGTCTCGAACTCCCAGCGCATTGTAAATTGTGATCCAGAGGCGCCGAACGTGGCAAATGTCTGCTGGCACCATATTGTGAAGGGAGAAGTTTCTCCCATATATCGGGCTAAGGGAGAAAAGAGAACGGATCAGCTCGACGATATTATTTCCCTATTAGTACCTCTTAGCTTCATGAAAAACTCTGACATGGTCGAACAACTTCACTCTGCACTGGCTTGGACGATTGCTTATAAGGACCCGGACTCGCAAAAGTTGGACCGACCCCGTGAAGAAACCCTTGAACTAGAGTTCTCGATCACTACCCCTAAAAAGATCGGGCTACCGACGATGATTCACTCGGATACGATTCCGAGTTCGCAGAGTCCTCTCTTCACGGGTTTAGAAGGTAACTCATTATGCTAACTCAAAACTATTTGGAATCGCTAACAACGGATTCCGTCATACAGAGGAAATGAAAAGTCTCAAAGAGCGTCGGAACCCCATTCAGAGCCACGCTGCCATGGAGTTGAGGAGGAAAGCTTTCGGGCTTTTCAATGACTACAAGAGGGGAGAATCAGAGCAAGAGAGCTGGGCGATATGTGAAAACTCTGTCCGCATTAAAACAACAAAGTACTCGACTGTTGTCCTGGCCGTCGCCATCGTCATCATACTCGGCTCGCTCTGTGTCCCATTCCTTGTCGGCGAAAAGATCGAAGGCGTCGATCCCTTCCAATTCGTCACCTTCGGCTGGCTGCTCGCTGGGGCCTTCCTTATCGGCGCCAAAAGCCGATATGTCGAGGAATGGCCATGGCACGATTTCTTGCGCGGCCAGATCATCTGCCGCAGCGTGTCGGAGCTCGCACACGCATCCCGACTCAAGGAGCAAACCATCCTGCTTTACCTGCTCCAGAACGAATTCAAGAAGCCGCTGATGTTTCGCGGCGCGTTCGTCGGGCCGTTCAGCCAACATAGCCGTGTGGAGTCGGGGATAGACGCGTTCAACATCGATGTTGCACTGGATCATGCGGCGGCGCTAGCGGCAGGGTTTATCGTGCTCAAGGTTTGGGATAAGTGCGGATTGCATTTGCTGCTTCATGATTCTAGGGGCGATACGATTTATAATGATAAAGGCGATCTAGTTTATAAGGGTTTCGAAAGCAATCAGGCGAATAATAGTAAGAAGAAGGATTTAAAGGACCGTCAAGGACGTCAAGTGTCGGAGATTTTGAAGCTGGAGAGGGATAGGTTCACTTATCAAGTGCTCGGTCAGTACGTGAACGATTGTCAGTTTGGTTAATTGGATTGCTGGCTTTATTATATTGAATGGGTCATTACTACAGCGACCGCGATATAAGTCGACGAGAAGAATGTTTTGGAGGAAATAAAGCTACTATATGAAATGATACTGTTACGGCACGGTAGCTGGATGTACACAACATACACGTAGCCAAAGATATTCTAGATTAAGCTAAAGAAGAGAACAAGAAAGGGAAGCTTTCTTGTTTACATCGGAGAGGTTGGACTCTGATTCACCCTTAACCTAATCAGGCTTAGGCTCCCAGCCTTAGCCAACCAAGGTTTTCAACCCATAACAGATACAGAATCATAAT